CATTACCACCAAGCAAGAAACCAGGAACAGAGTGCATCCTTTGGACCCGAAGTCCCTGTGCTGAGAAGCTCCTAGACCAGGGGAAGATTGATGACAAGGACCTTCCCTCAGAGCCAAAAGAGAGAGAAAGCCTTCCTCTGAAGCTGGTGCCCTGAATTTGGACTTCTAGCCTCCTAAACTGTGAGAGAATAAATTTCTCTGTGTTAAAGCCATCCATTTGTGGTATTTCTGTTATAGGAGCACTAGACAACTAAGACACCAACTTAAAATGTCATCGATATCCTTTTTAAAACTGAGGAATTTCACCCTACTTGCTTTGTATATGTAACAGGTACTTCTCAGGACAGCCAAACTTCTTAGTAGTGACTGAATGAAAGTCCTTGAAACCTAGAAATGCACTAATTTATTTTTGTGTGCTCATATTAACAACCCATAATAATTCATTTAGAATGACCACTAGTAAGAAGCTCTTAGTCATATATAAAAGTAAAATCTGGAATCGCGCCTCATTTTGTCTGTGAGAAATAGAAAAAAATAACTTGCTTGTTATTACTGTTATTTAAATCAGGTCATAGCCTATAAGAGGATTTTAGATTATACTTTGGAAAATAAAACCATACTGTCTTTGTCTCCTGAGGATGCCATCTGTGTTAATAAGTGTATAGTTCCTATGTGGAAGAATTCTTCAGCAAATCCAAACCAGATTTTTAGTCTTAATCTCCTCTCTAAGTGGCACACAGTTATACAGTTTTGGTATATATAGTCTTTTTCTGGGTAGCTGTCTTCCTTTCCATGGTCAGAACTTTTCATCCCCATCCCCAGTTCTGAAAATGGGTCTCCAGGGATTCAGTAGGTTTGTAGTAATATTGTAGCACATATGCTGACTATATTTATTTCTCTCTCCCAGAGCTGAGAGTAAGTACTCTAAAACTGTGCCATCCACTGTCATCCATCATCTCTAAATCCCTTATTTATATAAATATATCCTAAAAATGATGACGGGTTTGTCGTAAGTATTGCTTCTGAAAGTTTGAAGTATATGTGCTTAAGCTTACATAGAACTGTCACAAGTTTCTCGTTAACACCACGAATTTCCACTCGCTCTTTTAGCAGCTTAACCTGTAGTTCTTCTGGTTTCCTTTACTAATCTTTTCCTTTCACCTGACGTCTTTTTAAGTAAGATCTTATTATCTTTTATAAACCTCAGGATCCTTCAAGGATTCGCTGTATATGTTAACTTCTTGGCCCCTTCATAGTGTCACAGGTAATTTGTGATGGTAAAGGCATTTAAAACTTCTAAAAATTAGGAAATCATCTGAAAAAACTAGGTTTTGGTATGTTAACTTCTTGAACCTGTTTTGTTTCCTTACAAAAATTTCCGTAGCCCATATTCCTTCTTAAGTTACCTTGTAGGTTACGTTTCTTTGTTCCCTTTTAGCTTTCTTGAAAGAGTAAGTACTTATACCTCTACTCCTTTACCTTAAAATTCATTCCTCAACCCATTTCATTCCATATTATGCTACTTTTTTGAAGCTCACCAGTGGCCAGACAAAGGCACGGTTGTAGTAGAAAGAGTTCAGAATTTGGAGTTAAAATTAAAGGGTTCAGGTACCAGTTTTGTCACTTACTCATTGTCTGACTCTGGAAAAATTATATATTTTTGCTATCCAGAATGTGGTTTGAGGGCCAATGGAGAGTTGTTAGAAATGTAGAATTTCAAGTCCCAGAAATTTTAGACCTACTGAATCAGAATCTGCAAGTTAACAAAATCCCCATATTGAGAAGTACTGTAATATAATCATCTCATCTTCCAACCTCACTTTTCTTATATGTAAAATATACTTGGCTATATCTGTCAAACATCCTACAACCAACTGACATGCCATATCTTTTACCAATTTATTTGTTGTCTGCCTCCCCCTACTAGAATGTAAGCTCCCTGAGGCTGGGGTTTTTGTGTTTGTTTATTGCTGTATCTCCTATATCTAGAACAGTGCCTTGCACATAGTAAACACTCAGTATTTTTTTGAATGAACAAATGAATGAATGCTTCACTTGTCAAATCCTGTCATTTCTATGGCAGTCATGTACTTTCTACTGACATTTAGAACTACTGTATTAGTACAGATATAGAACATTTCGGTTGTTACAGAAAGTTCAAGTGGATAGTGCTGTTTAGACTTTCACATTCCCTTACCACTCACCTTGAATCCATCTTATGTATCGCCAGAAATAAATCTTTCTGCAGTGTAGTTCTGATCAAAACTGTCCAGAATTCCGTATGCCATATAGAATTAAGTTCAAATTCTTCAGTGTAACCTTTAGAGTGTTCTGCAGTTTTACGTACATAAAAATATTACATATAAATATATATGTGTGTGTGTCTGTGTGTGTGTGTCTGTGTGTGTGTGTGTATTATATTGGGTGCATTTGTTAGGACAGTCAGTTATCCTTGGGCCTCTTGCACTCCTACACATCTTGCTTGGTGTACCAAGACTGTAACGATCTGATGATTCTTTTACCCAGGTTATTTCTCAGGATTGTTTATGTAGCTGAAGAGAAGAGGTAACATCTTCTCGCAGACAAAGAGTAGGCTCATTTACTGCTTGCTGTAAAAGCAGTGGATTCCCCAAGCCCATTGTTACTCAGCTGTGACATGACCCCACTGCATGTGCAGCGTCTGTCTGGGCCGTATTGCATTGCCCCCTAGAGGAACCCATGAAAATAACTCTGATGATCCTGTTGCTTGCTCTGCCATGGATAGTAAAGTCTTTTGCTTCTAATTGAGGAGTCTTATGTCTTCTCCCAGCTTTTATGTAACAATAATGTTGTTGTTGCTAGGTGCTGTTGAGTCAGTTCTGACTCACAGCAGCCCTGTGTACAACAGAACGAAACACTGCCTGGTCCTGCACCATCCTCACAATTGTTGCTGCATTTGAGCCCATTGTTGCAGCCACTATGTCAGTCCATCTCGTTCAGGGTCTTTCTCTCTTTTGCTGACCCTCTACTTTACCAAGCATGATATCCTTCTCTAGGTACTTGTCCCTCCTGATAACATGTCCAAAGTATGTGAGATGAAGTCTCACCGTTCTCGCTTCTCAGGAGCATTCTTGCTGTACTTCTTCCAAGACAGATTTGTTGGTTCTTCTGGAAGTCCATGGTATGTTCAGTATTCTTGACCAACACCATAATTCAAATGCCTCAGTTCTTCTTCAGTCTTCCTTATTTGTTGTCCAGCTTTTGCATGCATATGAGGTAATTAAAAATACCATGGCTTGAGTCAGGCTCACCTTAGTCCACAAGGTGACATCTTTGTATTCTAACACTTTAATTAAAGAGGACTTTTGCAGCAAATTTGCCTAGTGTAATATGTCATTTGATTTCTTCTCAAAATGAGAAGAAATAGCTGCAAACATCCATTAATAATCAGAACATGGAGTCCAAAGGACTGATGGACCACAACTACCACAGCCTCTACCAGACTGAGCCCAGAACAAGTAGATGGTGCCCAGCTACCACCATCAACTACTGTGACAGGAATCAAAATAGAGGGTCCCAGACAGAGCAGGAGAAAAATGTAGAACAAAATTCAGATTCACAAAAAAAGACCAGACTTACTGGTCTGACAGACTGGAGAAACCCGAGAGTAGGGCCCCCGGACACGCTTTTAACTCAGTACTGAAGTCACTTCCAAGGTTCACCCTTTGGCAAAAGATTAGACAGGTCAATAGGGCAAACAATAACACATGTGAGGAACGTGTTTCATAGTTCAATCATATATATGAGACTAAATGGGCACACCAACCCAAAAGCAAAGACAAGAAGTCAGGAAGGGACAGGAAAACTGGAAGAATGGAAACGGGGAATCTGGGGTGGAGAAGGGGAGAGTGTTGACACATCACAGGGTTGGCAACCAGTGTCATAAAACAATTTGTGTATTAATTGTTTAATGAGAAGCTAATTTGCTCTGTAAACTTTCACCTAAAGCACAATGAAAAAAAAAAAATCAAAACGTGGAATGTGCAAAGTATGAATCAAAGAAAATTGGAAATTGTCAGAAATAAAATGGAACACTTGAAGATCAGTATCCTAGGCATTAGTGAGCTGAAGTAGTCTGGTATTGGCCATTTTGAATTGGACAATCTTGTGGTCTCCTATGCTGGGAATGACAAGTTAAAGAGGAACAGCGTTGCATTCATCATCAGAAAGAACATTTGAAGATCTATCCTGAAATACAACGTTGTCAGTGATAGGATAATATCCGTATGCATACAAGGAAGACCAGTTAATATGACTATTATTCAAATTTACCCACCAACCACTAATGCCAAAGATGAAGAAATTAAAGATTTTTACCAACTTCTGCAGTCTGAAATTGATCAAACATGCAATCAAGATGCATTGATAATTCCTGGTTGACTAACATATTAGCTTGTAAACCCATTGCCATTGAGTTGATTCTGATTCATAGCAACTTTATAAGACAGAGTAGAACTGCTCCTTAGGGTTTCCAAGGAACAGCTGGTGGATTTGAACTGCCAACCTTTTGGTTAGCAGCTGACCTCTCAATCACTACATCACCAGGGCTGCATATTAGCTTGTAAGTAGGGTAAAATAAAATCCCAGACCTGATAGCATTTTCCCTTGCCATTGAATGTTCTTTAAAAAATTTTAAGATCTGTATAATATTCCATCATATGGATATATTGTTATTTTTAACCATTACTCTATTGTTGTATATTTAAATTATTCCATATTTGCCATTACACATGGCTTTATAATTAATGTGTTTATAAATATCTGTCTCCTTTAATGACTTTTCATTAGGATTCATTTCTAGAAGGTAAAGTCCCGAGAGAGGGAATGCTTTATTTTTTTCAGTAAAGTCGGGAGGGGGTTCTTTTAAATTCAAAATAACAGCATTAAAATATATATATATATATATATATATATATATATATGCATATATATATAATATTAACAAATCTCTTTTTCTTTAGGAGATACTACTGAAGGAAGCACAGATGAAATTACTCAAACCAACTTGAAATCAGGCAGCACTACCACTTCCGGAGACTCAGACATTAGATCTAATTTGTTCTTGCATACTGAGGACTTGCCTCAGTTGATTGTAAGGTCCACTCAACAGAAGACTATTGGTCAACATACTGATATTTTCTACCAACAGACTTTGCCAGATAGTCGTCTAAGTGAACAGACTTTGGAAGTTTCAGCTGTACCTGCACTGGCAAACCAAAAGACTGGGATACCAACAGTACCCCCTAGTTCCCACTCATATAGAGAGAGGCTTAGTACTTTGTATCAACAAGAGTTGCCAGACAGTCGTCTAACTGTTGAAGCTCTGAAAGCTTTAGCTGTTCCTGGACCAGCTGACCAGAATACTGAGATAGCAAGAGTAACCTCTAGTTCCTACTCACATAGAGATAAGCCCAGTATATTCTACAAACAGGCGTTGTCAGACAGTGGTCTAAGTGAAGAAGCAGTGATTCTTTTAGCTGCTCTAGGACCAGATGCCCAGAAGATTGGGATACAAACAATGCCCTCTGGTTCCTACTCACAAAGAGAGAAGCCCACTACTTTTTACCAACAGATGTTACCAGGTAGTCATCTAACTGAAGAGGCTCTGAAAAATTCACCTATTCCTGGACGAGCTGACCAGAAGACTGGGATACCGGAAGTGCTCTCTAGTTACTACTCACAAAGAGAGAAGCCCAGTACTTTTTACCAACAGTTGTTATCAGATAGTCATCTAACTGAAGAGACTCTGAAAAGTTTACCTGTTCCTGGACCAGCTGACCAGAAGACTGGGGTACCAACAGTGCCTCCTAGTTACTATTCATATAAAGAGACACCTGATAGTTTCTTCCAGCAGTCATTACCAGAGAGTCATTTAACTAAAGAGACTCTCAAAACTTCAGCTGTTCCTGAACGACATAACCAAAACACTGGGATACCAAGCGTATCCCCTAGTTCCTACTCACATAGAGAGAGGCCTGGTACTTTCTACCAACAGGTGTTAGCAGATGGTCATCTAACTGAACAGGATCTGAGAAGTTCACCTGTTCCTGGCATACCACCTGCCCAGAAGCCTGGGATACAAACAGTGTCCTCTAGTTCCTACTCACAAACAGAGAAGCCTGGCGTTTTGTACCAGCAGACATCGCCAGATAGTCTCATAACTGAAGAGGCTCTGAAAGGTTTAGCTGGTCCTGGACAACCTGACCAGAAGTCTGGCATACCAACAGTACCCTCTGGTTTCTACTCACATGGAGAGAAACCTGATACTTTCTACCAACAGGCATTACCAGGTAGTCATCTAACTGAAGAGGCTCTGAGAAGTTCACCTGTTCCTGACATATTAGCAGCCCAGAAGACTGGGATGCCAACAGTGTCCTCTAGTTCCTACCCACAAAGAGAGAAGCCTGGTGTTTTCTACCAGCAGACGTTGCCAGATGGTCACATAACTGAAGAGGCTCTGAAAGGTTCAGCTGGTCCTGTGCGACCTGACCAGAAGCCTGGCATACCAGTAGTATCTCCTAGTTCCTACTCACCTAGAGGGAAGCCTGGTACTTTCTACCAACGAGCATTACCAGATAGTCATCTAACTGAACAGGCTCTGAGAAGTTCACCTGTTCCTGGCATACCAGCTGCTCAGGAAACTGGGATACTAACAGTGTCCTCTAGTTCCTACCCACAGAGAGAGAAGCCTGTTGTTTTCTACCAACAGACGTTGCCAGATAGTCATATAACTGAAGAGGCTCTGAAAGGTTCAGCTGGTCCTGGACGACCTGACCAGAAGTCTGGCATACCAACAGTATCCCCTAATTCCTACTCACATAGAGAGAAGCCTGGTACTTTCTACCAACAGGCATTACCAGATGGTCATCTAACTGAACAGGCTCTGGGAAGTTCACCTGTTCCTGGCATATCACCTGGCCAGAAGCCTGGGATACAAACAGTGTTCTCTAGTTCCTATTCACAAAGAGAGAAGCCTGGTGTTTTCTATCAGGAGACATTGCCAGATAGTTATATAAATGAACAGGCTCTGAAAGTTTCAACTAGTCCTGGACAACCTGACCAGAAGTCTGGCATACCAAAAGTACCCTCTAGTTTCCACTCACATGGAGAGAAGAATGATAGTTTCTACCAACAGACATTACCAGGTAGTCATCTAACTGGAGAGGCTCTGAGAAGTTCACCTGTTCCTGGCATACCAGCAGCCCAGAAGACTGGGATGCCAATAGTGTCCTCTAGTTTCTACCCACAAAGAGAGAAGCCTGGTCTTTTCTACCAGCAGACATTGCCAGATAGTCATATAACTGAAGAGGCTCTGAAAGGTTCAGCTGGTCCTGGACTACCTGACCAGAAGTCTGGCATACCAGCAGTATCCCCTAGTTCCTACTCACATAGAGAGAAGCCTGGTATTTTCTACCAACAGGCATTACCAGATGGTCATCTAACTGAACAGGCTCTGAGAAGTTCACCTGTTCCTGGCATATCACCTGGCCAGAAGCCTGGGATACAAACAGTGTCCTCTAGTTCCTACTCACAAAGAGAGAAGCCTGGTATTTTCTATCAAGAGACATTACCAGATAGTCATTTAAATGAACAGGCTCTGAAAGTCTCAACTGGTCCTGGACAATCTGATCAGAAGTCTGACATACCAACAGTACCCTCTAGTTTACACTCGCATGAAGAGAAGACTGATACTTTCTACCAACAGGTGTTACCAGAGAGTCATCTAACTGAAGAGGCTCTGAGAAGTTCACCTGTTTCTGGCATACCAGCTGACCAGAAGACTGGGATACCAACAGTGTCCTCTAGTTCCTACCCACAGAGAGAGAAGTTTGGTGTTTTCTACCAACCGACGTTGCCAGATAGTTATCTAACTGAAGAGGCTCTGAGAAGTTCACCTGTTCCTGGCATACCAGCATCCCAGAATACTGGGATACTTCCAGCGTCCTCTAGTTTCTACTCACAGAGAGAGAAGCCTGGTGTTTCCTACCAGCAAACGTTGCCAGATAGTCATTTAAATGAGCATGCTCTGAAAGTTTCAGCTGGTCCTGGACAACCTGACCAGAAGTCTGGCACACCAATAGTACTGTCTAGTTCCCACTCACATGGAGAGAAGCCTGGTACTTTCTACCAACAGGCGTTACCAGATAGTCATCTAACTGAACAGGCTCTGAGAAGTTCATCTTTTCCTGGCATACCAGCTGCACAGAAGACTGGGATACTAACAGTGTCCTCTAGTTCCTACCCACAGAGAGAGAAGCCTGTTGTTTTCTACCAGCAGACGTTGCCAGATAGTCATATAACTGAAGAGGCTCTGAAAGGTTCAGCTGGTCCTGGACGACCTGACCAGAAGTCTGGCATACCAACAGTATCCCCTAGTTCCTACTCACCTAGAGGGAAGCCTAGTACTTTCTACCAACAGGCATTACCAGATAGTCATCTGACTGAACAGGCTCTGAGAAGTTCACCTGTTCCTGGCATACCAGCAGCCCAGAAGACTGGGATACCAACAGTGTCCTCTAGTTCCTACCCACAAAGAGAGAAGCCTGGTGTTTTCTACCAGCAGGCATCACCAGATGGTTATATAACTGAAGAGGCTCTGAAAGATTCAGCTGGTCCTGGGCAACCTGACCAGAATTCTGGCATACCAACAGTACACTTTATTTCCCACTCACGTAGAGAGAAGCCCAGTACTTTCTATCAGCAGACGTTACCAGATGGTCATCTAACTGAACAGGCTGTGAGAAGCTCACCTGTTCCTGGTATACCAACTGAGCAGAAGACTGGGATACCAACAGTACTCTCTAGTCCCCCCTTACATAGAGAGAAGCCTGGTGTTTTCTACCAAAAGGTGTTGCCAGATAGTCATCTAACGGCAGAGGCCCTGAGAAGTTCACCTGTTCCTGGCATGCCAGCTGACCAGAAGGCTGAGATACCAGCACTATCCTCTGGTTTCTACCCACACAGAGAGAAGCCTGATGTTTTCTACCAACAAGCGTTACCAGATAGTCATGTAACTGAAGAGGTTCTGAGAAGTTCACCTGTTCCTGGCATACCAGCTGACCAGCAAGCTGAGATACCAGCCCTGTCCTCTAGTTCCTACCCACAGAGAGAAAAGCCTGGTGTTTTCTACCAACAGGCATTGTCAGATAGTCCTCTAATTGAAGAGGCTCTGAAAGTTTTACCTGTTCCTGAACCGGCTAACCAGAAGACTGGTATACCAACAGTATCCTCTAGTTCCTACTTACAGAGAGAGAAGCCTGGTACTTTCTATCAACAGGAATTGCCAGATAATCATCTAACTGAAGAGGGTCTGAAAAGTTCACCTGTTCTTGGACCAGCTGACCAAAAAACTGGGATACAAACAGTGCCCTCTAGTTCGTACCCACGAAGAGAAAAGCCTGGTGTTTTCTACCAACAGGCATTGCCAGACGGTCATCTAACTGAAGAGGCTGTGAAAGTTTTAGCTCTTCCTGGGCCAGCTGCCCAGAACACTGGGATACCAACAGCACCCTCTAGTTCTTACTCACATAAAGAGAAGCCCAGTACTTTCTACCAACAGGAGTTGCCAGATCATCATCTTACTGAAGAGCCTCTGGAAGTTTTAACTGTTGTTGGACCAGCTGATCAGAAGACTGGGATACCAGCAGTGCCCTCTAGTTCCTATTCACATAAAGAGAAACCTGGTACTTTATACCAACAAGCACTGCCAGATAGTCATCTAACTGAAGAGGTTCTGAAAGATTCACCTGTTCCTGGACCGGCAGACCAGAAGACTGGAATACCAACAGTACCCTCTACTTCCCGCTCACATAGAGAGAAGCCTGGTATATTTTACCAACAGGAGTTGCCAGATAGCAATCTGACTGAAGGGACTCTGAAAGTTTTAGCTATTCCTGGACCAGCTGACCAAAAGCCTGGGATACCAACTGTGCCCTCTAGTTTTTACTCACAGGGAGAGGCTCCTGGTAGTTTCTGCCAGCAGGTCTTGCCAGATAGTCATCTAACTGACGAGTCTCTGAAAAGGTCAGATGTTCCTGGGCCAGCTGACCAGAAGACTGGGATACGGACACTACTCCCCAGTTCTCACTCATCTAGAGAGAAGCCCGGTACTTTCTACCAACAGAATTTTCCAGATAGTCATCCAACTGAAGAGGCTCCGGAGGTTTCAACTGTTCCTGGACCAGGTGACCAGAAAACTGGGTTACTAATAACTCCCGGTAGTTCCAGCTCACGTAGAGTGAAGCTCAAGATTTCACCTGTTACTGGATTGAATGACCGGAAGACTGAGTCACCAACAGCTCCTGCCAGTTCCAACTCACAGAGAGAGAAGCCCAAGATTTCAACTGTGATTGGACCAGATGACCAGAAGACTCCATTATTGACAGTTTTCTCTAGCTCCTATTCCCAAAGGGTAAAGCCTAGTATTTTCTCTCAACAGGAGTTGCCAGATAAACATCAAATTGAAGGTAATCTGAAGGTTTCAACTGTCCCTGAATCAACTGATGGGAATATTGGGATACCAACACCTCTTGCTAGTTCCTCTTCACAAACAGAGAAATCTCATGTTTTCTACCTGTCGGAACTGTCAGACAGACGTCTAACTGATGATACTCCGAAGGTTTCAGCTATTCCTGGACCAGCTGACCAGAAAACTGTGTTACCAACAGTTCCTCCTAGTTTCGTTTCACACAGAGAAAAGCCTAATACTTTCTCTCAACAGGATTTGCCAGACAGACGTGTAACTGAAGATTCCCAGAAGGTCTCAAGTGTTCTTGGGCAAGCTGAACAGGTTACTGTGTTACCAGCAGTTCCCCCTGGTATTTACTTACATAGTGAAAAGCACAAAGTTGTTTCAGAATGTGCCCAGAAACTAATAGATAATTTTAATTCCTCTGACCTCAGTGTTAGCTCAAAGAATATGCCTATAAATTCTCAGGTTGAGGATAGAGTTGTAATAAATAAGCCAGAAACTTTACGTTTTGGAGATTTGGGCTCTGAGGAAATCCGGGATATTGACAGTGGTTCCAAAACTCTTAAAGAAATTCAGGCACTGTTAATGGAGGCAGAAAATATAGCACTGAGACGATGCAATATTCCTGCTCCCCTTATCCCTTTCAGGGATGTCAGTGATATTTCATGTATACAATCAAAGAAGGTGGTTTGCTTCGAAGAACCTTTTACAACTGATGAATGTGATGGTGATTTGCATCAGAAAGAGCCATTACCAGAGGAAAACCCAAGCAGCAGGTGCATACAGAAGGATATTAGCACACAGACAAATCTGAAATGCCAGAGAGGCATTGAAAATTGGAAGTTTATTAGTTCAACTACAGTTAGAAGTCCTCTACAGGAAGCAGAACACAAAGCCAGAGTAGCATTAGAGGAAACCCTTAAGCAATATGAAACAGCCAAATCTGTAATGAGGTCTGAACCTGAAGGGTGTAGTGGAACCGTTGGGAATAAAATGGTTATCCCTGTGATGACTATCATAAAAAGTGATTCAAGTAGTGACACAAGTGATGGACATGGTTCCTGCTCATGGGACGGTAATTTACCAGAGTCTTTGGAGTCAGTGTCAGATGTTCTTCTAAACTTTCCAGATGTTTCACCCAATGCTAGCATAGCAGATAGCAGAGAGGAAGAGGGTGTGTCAGAGAGTGATGATGGTAGCAGCAGTGTAGATTCATTGGCTGCACATGTGAAAAACCTTCTGCAATGTGAATCCTCATTGAATCATGCTAAACAAATACTGAGAAATGCAGAGGAAGAGGAAAGTCGGGTACGAGCACGGGGTAAGAACTGATATTTTATAATAAAGGCAGCTTCAAGCTTATAAATGTTTTAATTATTTAAAATTAGATGTTTGGAACTCTAAATTTATTTTCATATAGAATTGTTCAAGTGATTACATTTTCCTCTAGCAATCCAGAAAAAGCCCGTTTAACCAGTAATGTAGCTGAGATACTGTATTAATAATCCTAGTCTGCGTTTAGAATATAGAAGTAGGTTCTGATGTCTGAAGCAGAGTAAAGAGGTAGCTTGGGCTTCCACGCTTCTGAAGCACTCATGTTTCTCTAAGGTTCCCATTGTAGTATTCTTATTTTGAGGCCATAAAAAGCCTCCAGTTTTCTCTGTGCTCTAATTTGTTCTGTGTCCTAAAGTTACTTTTTTCCTTCCTCTTTTCTAATAAAATGCTCAGAGCTGATCTCAGACATTAGGAAAAAGCTACTCAAGATATATCACACTAAAACTTGGGTTAGAGGTTTAAAAGAGAATACGTACTAACCCCGGTAATCTCTAATAGTAGAATTCTACATTAAAAAATAAAAGAAAAGCTGAAGACAACATGGGAAATATATTGGGGGGAGGGACGTGGAGGGACAACTCAGTTCTTCCTGGAAATCCTCCTTTGAGGTTGTCTACATATTTTCTTCTACCACTTATGTATATTTTGATTCTCAACAAAAGCAAGTTTTATTTGTTATTTTTAAATATCCGCTGTCATCAAAGTGGTAGTAACTGTAGCAGGACCTAAAGGGGGAGGCCAAGGGACTCTTGATTGGAAGAAAGATTAGGATAAACATGATTGCATAACACGCTACAGGAAATTCAGCACAACTGGGCTAAACTAGAGCTAAGAAGTTTCCTGAATAAAACCAAATACTTCGAGGGATAGAGTAGCAGGGGCGGGGGTCTGGGGACCATGGTTTCAGGGGACATCTAGGTCAACTGGCATAACAAAGTTTATTAAGAAAATGTTCAGTATCCTGCTTTGGTGAGTGGCATCTGGGGTCTTAAAAGCTAGTGAGCGGCTGTCTAAGATACATCAAATGGTCCCAACCCACCTGGAGTAAAGCAGAATGAAGAACACCAAAGTCACAAGGAAAGTATTAACCTAAGAGACAGAAAGCGCCACATAAACCGGAGACTTTATCAGCCTGAGACCGGAAGAACTAGATGGTGCCCAGCTACCACCAGTGACAGCCCTGACAGGGAACACAACAGAGAGTTCCTGATGGAGCAGGACAAAAGTGGGCTGCAGAACTCAAATTATAGTAAAAAGACCAGAACAATGGTCTGACTGAGACTGGAGGAACCCCAGAAAGCATGGCCCCAGACTCTCTGTCAGCCCGCAGCTAAAACCATTCCCCAGGTCAACTCTTCAGACAAAGATCAGACTGGACTATAGGACATAAAATGATACTCGTAAAGAGTGTGCTGCTTAGCTCAAGTAGATACATGAGACTAAATGGGCAGCTCCTGTCCAGAGGCAAGATGAGAAGGCCGAGAGGGTCAGAAGCTGGTTGAGTGGACACAGGAAATCAGAGGTGGAAAGGAGGAGTGTGCTGTCACAATATAGGGAGAGTAATTAGGGTCACAAAACAATGTATGTGTAAATTTTTGTATGAGAGACTAACTTGAATTGTAAACTTTCACTTAAAGTACAGCAATAAAATAAAAAAAAGATTACATAACATTTAAAGTAGCCTCTTTGGAAAAGTATCTGTGGAGTATGATTTTTAAAAAAATCAGACTTTTCAGTGAAATGATCTCTCTTAACAACTTGTAATAGTTTGTCATATAATTGAGAGCAAACACTTTTTGCTGAAGTTGCATAAGCATTATATAGGCTATATTGATGATCTGTGCTCTTATAATTACTGACAAACGATCACTATTGCATTATATTATCTCAGGTGTTTTTATACTTTCTCTCCAGCCTGGAATCTGAAGCTTAATTTGGCTCACGAGTGTGGATACTCCATTTCAGAATTAAATGAAGATGATAGAAGAAAAGTGGAAGAGATCAAGGCAAAATTGTTTGGTCATAGGAGAACAACTGACTTGTCCCAGGTATGAGAGAAACCTGGAAATCTAAAGGGAAAACGTGAAAGAAAGGGTGGTGGAATTTGTATCTCTCACCCTTAGTTAGCATTGATGACTTCAGCTGAGTCACTAGTGGTCTTTGGCTAAAGTGTTAGGAGTCTTAATTCTTCAAAAGTTAAGATTTATCTTTTGCTTAATCCCAAACTCATCCATTGAGAAAAATTGATCTTAGAAAATAAGAATGGGTTTGCTTGCCTTATCAATATATTATTAGAATAGAGACACTAAATGTCACCCATATAAATGGCTTTCTTTTTTAATAGTACTTGTTTCCTTCTATTAGGAACCATTTTGTGCATAAAAAAGAATATATATGAAACATGTATTTAAAGGATAAAGAGAAATACAAATAATTTCTGTGTGCCAGTCACCCAGCGTAAGAAATAGAATGTTGCCAAATACCATTGAAGCCTTTGGGTACTCTTCCCCAGTTGTGTCTCTTTCCTCTCTTATCCTAACGTGTTGGTTTCCTTGCTCTTCAGCATGGTTTTGAACTCTATGTAGATGGGATCAGAATGGCATATATTCTTCTGAGAATTGCTTTTTTCACATAATCTTTGCTTTTGAGATTTGTCCCTGTAGATATAATAGTTTTAGTTATTCCTTTTTATTGCTGTATGATATTTCAGTGTATGAGTATATCACAATTTATCCATTCTCCTGTGGATAGGGCATTTTGATTGTTAACAATTTTTTGCATTATGAACAATAATAGGCAATAATAATAATAACCATTTTATACAGTTGTGGTATGGATTACATGAGATAATGCCTATAAAATGCTTAGTAGAATGTGTCATATCTAATTAGCGCCCAATAACTGGCAGTTGTTGTTGTTATTATTACTAATTCTGTAAGCATTGATGTACCTATTATATGCATGGACTTTATGGTCCGATTCATACCGAGTTTCTTAGAAGTTTCTTCCTACTTAAGTGATATAGCTTAATTATTTGGTTTATCTCAATTTCTGCAACATTTTTTAAAAGTATAAGTGAAACTGGATTTTAGGTTTTACATATATGCTTGTGAACAACAAAATTAAATAATAAAATGGAAAATTAATTGTCCTAGCACCATTTATTTAAAAGTACATATTTTTCCCCAGTGATTTGAATTTCCCTGTTTTTTTAAATCTTCATATGCTGATGTTTCTAGATTCCTCAGCAATCAGATTGCCTTCCTTTGGGTAGACCCTAGTTTGTCTGTGTTCTTCTTAAAATATTGTATGCTGAATTAGATTAAACACAATACTACACATGCTGTCTCACCAGTACGAAGTATATTTGGTAGTTCTCTTTTTATTAATGTATTCTGAGATTTCTAATGGTCACATCATACTTTGCTTTTTTTTTTTTTTTTTGGTAAAATATAAACCACTGCTAAGATCTCTATTCCCATTTCTTGTGCCCATGTAATACTTTTAAACTCTGCTGTATTTCTTCTTGGTTTCATATCACTGTGTTCAAGCCTATTGGAATAACTTTCAATCTCATTTTGGTCGTCTATTATATTAAATATTTCTTCCAGCTTTGTATATTTGAAAACCGTTTTTATCCAAGTTATTGATAACCCATTGCCATTGAGTCGATTCCTGCTCATAGTGACCCTGTAGGACAGAGTAGAACTGCCCTATAGCGGAAGCAGACTGCTACATCTTTCTCCTGTGGAGTAGCTGGTGGGTATGAGCCGCTGACCTGTTGGTTAGCAGCCCAGCGCTTTTAACAACTGCACCACCAGGGTTCCTTCAAGTTAATGATAAAAATGTTTAAACAGACAGAGTTATAAATAAAAACCAAAACTCATGCCATTAAGTCAATAGCGACCCTATAAGACAGAGTAGAACTGCCCCATAGGGTTTCCAAGGCTGTAATCTACACAGAAGCAGACTGCCACATTTTTCTCCTGTGAAGCAGTTGGTGGGTTCGAACAACCAACCTTTCGATTAAGCTGAGCTCTCAACTGCTGCGTCACCAGGGCTCCTTAGACAAGGTTATAGGGGAGGAAAATCTAAAGCCTTTTGAATAAGGTTGTTTTAACCACTAGGGTGATTAGTGCTTAAACTCGCAGAGAGTTGATTATTGATTATCTGTGATCAATTTGCTGTCCATGTGAGGAACAAAAAGAACCCTGTCCCCATGACACATCTTACACAAAATTAATTTGAGATGGATCATAGACCTTAATGTGAAAGGTAAAATAACAAAGCTTCTTGAAGAAAATATAGAATCTCTTCATGATGTTTGAGGTAGGCAAAGATTTCTTAAATAGGACACAAAACAGCACTAACCATAAAAGAAAGAATTGATTAATTGCTTTTCATTAAAATTAATGCACTATGAAGAGTGAAAAGATAAGGCACTATGAACAGAATGGAGGAATATTTATAGTATGTACATTTGACAAAGGACCTAAGTCCAGAATACCTATAAAGAACTACACAAATCAGTTCCCCCTCCCCAAAGACTTGAAATGGGTACTTAATAAATGAACTTATGCCAATGGCCCGTAAGTGTTTGAGAAGGTTCTCAATTTCATTATCCATCAGTGTAATGCAAATTAAACCAGAGTGAGATACTACTTCACATCAGAATGGCTAGATTAAAAAGAGAACAATACTAAATATTGGGGAGGTTGTGGAGCAAGTAGAATACTTATGTATTGCTAGTGGGAGAGAAAATTGGTACAATACTCTGGAAAACTAAGCATTATCTACTAAAGGTATGGAGTTCCTGGGTGGTGCAGATGGTTAACACATACTGCTGACTGAACGGTTGGAGGTTCAGATCCACTCAGAGGCCCTTGGAAGAAACGCCTGGCAATCTACTTCTAAAAATCAACCATTGAAAACCCTATGGAGCACAGCTCTATTCTGACACTGGGTTGCCATGCGTCATAATTGACTCAATGGCAACTGGTGGTGGTGGAGTAAAGGTAAAAATACACCTGCACTGTGGCACGTCAGCTCTCCTTCAAGGTGTGCACTCAAGAGAAATCAGTGCATATGTTAGCTAAAGGACAGGACAAAAATAATAATAGTAGTCCCAAACTGAAAACTTCCTATATGTCCATCAAGAGTAGAACAGACAAATCAATTATGGTTTCTTCATACAGTGGAATTCTGCGTATCAACAAAAAAGAACAAACTACTGCTTCTTAATTGCATTGAAGGATTTCACACATAAAATATAGCAGATGAAGCCAGACACAAAAGTCATACTGAATGATTCCATTTATATGAAATTCAAAAACAGACAAACTAATCAATGGTGATAAAAGTAAGAACAGTGTTTGATGAGGCTGAGTGTGTGGTATTGATTGGGAAGAGGCACAAGAGATCTTCTTAGGTATAGGAAAGGTTGTATGTCTGGATCTGGGTGACATATACATGGCTGTACCTTTATTGTTTTAGCTAGTGAGAGCAGGTTTTTGTTAGGGCTTTTTGTCTGTGCCCTTTGTTTCCAGGTTGCTGGCTTCTTCAGCTGCAAGTCTGGGATATATAAGACAAAAGGAAAACCCGGAGATCTCACCACCATGTAATTCCTTAGGTCCCAGGTCCCAAGGTCCCTAGTTGGTCTACCTTCTTCTCTACACCTTTCAGAGTCTTCTTACGTTTGTTTTATATATAATGACCAGGAATTTTAGTTGTATTTAGCAGGAGGAATAAGGAAAAGTACATCTACTCCATCTTTCTGGAAGCAGCTGCTTAATTTATAATATTTTAATATAAAAATAAATGTCGTATCATCAAATAGAATGCTAATTTATAATGACTTTATAGGCAAAATACAAAAACCACAAAGAAATTTTATATTTACTGTAGTCAGCTTTGGGTGCTGATCCTATGCCCCAGGAAGAGCTACTAGTTCTCTTTCATATTCTTAGGGGTAAAATGTTAGCATACAGGTTAAGCTTCTGTAGCAAAGAGACCCAAAAATACTATGGCTCTAGTAAGGTAGAACTTTTTTTCCCCCCTATGTCATAGTCCAGGATAGGAAAGTGAGCTCTGTTTCTTGAGGTCACCCAAGGACCCAAGCTGGCTAGGCTGCTGAGCCATCCTTACACATGGCTTCCAAGTTTGTTTTAGGCATCACCGTTTTCAGCTGACAAGAGTAATGATGATGGTAGTGGGGGAGCACGGAGGTTAAGAAGTTGATTTTTAAGGACAGGAAGAAAAAGTTGTACTTCTTCCTTTTGTTCATATCCTATTGGCTAGTCATATGGTCACATCTACTGCAAAAGAAACTGGAAATGTCTTTGCTTGGTGACTGTCTGACCAGCAAAAGTTAGGGTGAGGAGCCTTTATTACTAAAAGGAAGAAGGGGAGAATGAATACTGGGGGACAGTAATAGATTTTGCTATGATTACTTTAGTGAAAATTTTGAGAACTGTATCATGAACCATTTTATTCTATAGTTACCTGCCTATTTCTTGCTGTGTTCTTTTACCTGTTTTATAGTAAAAGAACAGCACAGCCTGAGCTTCATGGTCAAATCTTAGCCTGGATATAAAACTGATATTTATGTAACTATTTGGAACTACTTCAAGTAAGAACCTGTTTATATCTTCTAGGGTTTACAGAGTCCACAGGGAATAGGATGCAAGCCAGAAGCTGTATGTAGTCACATTATTATTGAGAGCCATGAAAAAGGATGTTTCAGGACTCTAACTACTCAGCAAACACAATTGGACAGTCATCCTTGTGTCTTCAGATCTGATGAACCTGAAGAAATGATCAGAGAACAGCAGGGCCCATCATCATGGAGAGCCAGGCACATCAACCTCTCAAAATCAGTAGACCAGAACAACCCCCGCTTCAAAGTTTGGAATTCCTTGCAGTTACGAAGCCATTCCCCATTTCAAAACTTCACAGCCGATAACTTTAAAATTAGCAAGGATCTTCGAGTGCCTTTCCATGAAAAGACTGACCCTTGGTTGTCAGAATTAGTAGAACCTGCTTGTGTGCCACCTGAGGAAATGGATTTTCATTCTTCATCACAAATGCTGCCCCCAGAACCCGTGAAAAAGTTGACTACCTCCATCACTTTTTCATCTCACCGACATTCTAAATGCATTTCAGATTCCTCTGTTTTTAAGGTTGGTGTTACTGAAGGTAGTACTGGAGCACCTGTGGGGGTATTTAATTCTCATTTCACTGAAGAGCAAAATCCTATTAGAGATCAAAAACAGAAAACCTCTTCCTCTTCATCAGTTAAAATGTATAGTCATTCACCAGATACAGATCTGACTGTTTTAGCAGAGAGCGATAGGCAAAGCCAAAAATTACCTGTAGATTTTGAGCATTCTCACCAAGAAGAAAAACTCTTAGAAGTATCAGATTTTAAAGTCAGTCATTCTGAGCCCAGTCCCATTGCAAATTGTAGCAATTTCATTAGCATGGGCAGACTGAGTTCCACACTAGGAGTAAAAGAGAAGAATGTAACCATAACTCCAGACCTTCCTTCACTCATTTTTCTTGAACAACGTGAACTCTTTGAACAGTGCAAAGCCCCACATGCAGATAATCACTACATAAGAAAAAACCATTCTCCCCCTCCTCAACATCAAGATTATGTAGCTCCAGACCTTCCTTCTCGTATTTTTCTTGAACAACGAGAGCTCTTTGAACAAAGCAAAGCCTCACATGTAGATTATCAGATGAGAGAATACCATTCTCCCATTCCTCAAGGTCAGGATTGTATAGCTTTAGACCTTCCTTGTGACATTTTTCTTGAACAACGCGAGCTCTTTGAACAAAGCAAAGACCCATGTGTAGATCACCATGTGAAAAAACACCATTCCCCCTTTCCTCAAGATCAAGAATGTGTAGTAGAAAAGGATAATCAACATAAGCCTAAATCACATAGTTCTAATATGGTAAATGTTGAAGCTAAGTTCAATAATACGATCTCCCAGTCATTCCCAAATCACTGTACTCCACCTTCAAATAGAAAAGCACTTTCTTGTGTTCGTATAACTCTTTCTCCCAAGACTCCTTCCAAGCTGGATAGTGGAACCTTAGATAAAAGGTTACATTCATTGGATTCTGTTTGTAAATCAAGGATGAATAGAGAGTTTAACTCTGAACTACAAACCATATCTTCGAGATCATTGGAACCAACCTCAGAATCTAAATCTTCACTAGACGTCCAAGTCGTACATTTTCCTCTTACAGATTGTAGTACTATTACTCAGGACTTGAAAATCAGACCTCAGAATAGCCAGATAGTGACCTCAAGGCAAACCCAAGTGAACATTTCAGATTTGGAAGGATATTTCAATCCAGAGGGGACTCCAGTATCTGCAGATCGGTGAGTCTCATTGTAATAATAAGCTGATGGCATTTGTGATAAAGAGTTTAAAATACTTTTAAGTAAATGTAACTTCTTAGGGGAAAGGCAGTATGATTTTCTCTTAGAGGAGATTGTATGTGACTAATCTGCTAGAAGTCTTTTCAGGAAATGAATAAATATGTAAGAGAGAACATGTATTTATACTTCAGGGGGCTTTTGGCAAGACTTGGCATCAAGTTTTGTAAAACACTGAGTTATTTTGAGAAGAATCTTTGATCATCCAGTGGTATAATTTACTAATCCCTTATTTACTGTGTTGGAAATATGCTCAAGACCAGGATTTGAGAGGCTGTTTTCTTTCTTTTTCTCTCTTTGTCTCTTTCCCTCTCAGTGTTTTCATTTCATAGAATTGAAAATCTTCAATCTAATATCAGTGGAAATTATTTTGTCCTTGTGCCCCATCTCACAGTGTACTGTAGGGGAGGAAACCTAATTCAAGAATAAATGCATGAGATTTATATTATTCAGCCTAATTTTAGGACTTTGTCATTAATTCATTTTTTAAAAGTTTTGTGCTTTAGGTGAAAGTTTACAGCTCAAGTTAATTTCTCATTCAAAAATTTATACACATATTGTTTTGTGACATTGGTTGCAATCCCCACAATGTAATAGCGTGCTCTGCCTTTCCACCCCAGATTCCCTGTGTCCATTCATCCAGTTCCTGTCCCTTCCTCCCTTCTCATCTTGCTTTTAGGCAGGAGTTGCCCATTTGGTCTCATATACTTGATTGAACTAAGAAACACATTCCTCACATGTGTTACTGTTTGTCTTATAGGCCTATCTATTCTTTGCCTGAAAAGTGGGCTTCAGGAGCGGTTTCACTTCTGGGTTAGCGGAGTGTGCAGGGGCCATAGTCTCAGGGGTTCCATCAGTCTCTGTCAGACCAGTATGTCTGGTATTTTTTCATGAATTTGAATTTTGTTCTACATTTTTCTCCAGCTCTGTCCTGGACTCTCTGTTGTGATCCCTGTCAGAGCAGTCAGTAGTGGTAGCTGGGCACCATCTAGTTCTTCTGGGCTCAGGCTACTGGAGGCTGTGGTTCATGTGGTCCTTTAGTTTTTTGGGCTAATATTTCCCTTGTGTCTTTGGTTTTCTTCATTCTCATTTGCTCTAAATGGAATGGGACCAATAGATGGATCTTAGATGGCTGCTCACAAGCTTTTAAGACCCCAGACACTACTCACCGAAGTGGGATGTAGAATATTTTTTCTATGAACTGTATGCCAGTTGATCTAGATGTCCCCTGAGACTATGGTCCCCAGCCCTAGCAACTTGGTCCCTCAAGGTATTATGATGTGTCTAAGAAACTTCTGTGCCTTTGCTTTGGTCATGTTGTGCTGACTTCCCCTATATTGTGTGTTGTCTTTCCCTTCACCAAAGTGGACACTTGTCGACTATCTAGCTATTCATTTCCCTTCACCAAAGTTGACACTTGTCTACTATCTAGCTATTCATTTCCCTTCCCCCTCCTTTCCTAACCTCATAACCATCAAAGAATCCTTTTTTTTGTATGTAAACCTTTTCTTGCGTTCTTATAACAGTGGTCTCAACAATATTTGTCCTTTTGTGACTGACTTATTTCACTCAGCATAATGCCCTCCAGATTCATCCATGTTGTGAGATGTTTTGCGGATTCATCATTGTTCTTTTTCGTTGCGTAGTATTTCGTTGTGCACATGTACCATTAATTCAGGTAAACAAAATTTCCTCTTGTGTTTAATGTTTTCCACCTAATAGTTGGAAGCATGCCATAATACAGGACACTGAGTTTGGAAAGAAGGAAGGGGAAAAGTATTTATCCAGCATCCACATGTCGTAGTCTAGCAGTGAGGGACTTCTACATGCTGCCTCACTTAGTCTTCATGACACACCTGTGAGGTAGGGTTTTCCCCATTTACCCACTGGAAAACTGAGACACCGATTGCTACTTGTACCAAGTGATATATATGTATATTTTTTAAACTTTTGTATTTTGAGATAATTTTAGACTTAAGAGAGGAGTTGCAATAAGAGAGTTCCTGTATTACTGATCTATTCTGTGTAACAAATTATCCCAAAACTTATCAGCTTAAAACAATAAACCTTTATTATCCCAGAGTTTCTGTGAGTTTGAAATCCAGGCATGGCTTAGCTGGGTGCTTCTGGCTCAGGGTCTCTCACAAGATTGCAGTCAAGGTGTTGGCGGCAGCTGTGATCTCATCTCAAGGCTCTACTGAGAGGATCTGCTTCCAGGCTCACTGACATGGTTGCTGGCTGGAGACATCAGTTTCCTACCATGTAGTTCTCTCCGTAAGGCAGCTTACAATATGATAGCTAACTTCTCTCAGACTGAGCAAGTGAGAGAACAACAGGGGGTGCCCAACACAGAAGCCAGAGTCTTTGTAACCGAATCTTGGAAGTGACATCTCCTTACTTCTGCCACATTCTGTCTGATAGAAATGAGTCACTATATCCAGCCCACACACAAGTGTTACAGATCATACAAGGGCGTGAATACCAAGAGACAGAGATCACTGGGGGATGTCTTTGAGGTTGCCTACCACAGTTCCCACATACCCTTCACCCAAACTTCCCTTATGTTACCATCTTACATAACCATAAAACATTTATCAAAAGTAAGGAATTTTCCTTGGTACAAAACTGCACACTTGGTACAGACTGATTAGGGTTTTACCTGGTTTTTCCACAAAACAGCCTTTTCTGTTTCAGAATGTAATCAGGACCCCACCTTGCATTTAGTTGTCATATCCGCTTAATCTCCTCCAGTCTGATATTTTTTTCAATTTTTCCTTGTCTTTCATGACCTTGACACTTTGAAGAGTACTGATCAGTTATTTTGGAGAAAGTCCTTTGGCTTTGTCTGGTATTTTCTCAAGATTAGTTTGAGATTTATGCACTCTTAATGCATCACATTAGAGAATACATAATGTTGTTACGTATTACTGGTGATGTTAATCTTGACCACTTGCCTAAAGTGGTGTCTGCCAGGAGTCTTCATTGTAAAGTTCCTATTTTTCCTTCATAAATACTAAATATTTGGGGGAGATACTGTTAGACTATACAAATAGCCTGTTTCTGCTTAAATTTTGACCACCAATTGTAACATCCATCAGTGGGTCTTGCCTCTGGCAATTAATACGGTGGTGCTCCAGTGGTGTTTTTCTTTCATTCCTTCCATATTTATTAACTGAAATTTTTCTGAAAGGAAGAGTTGTTCTTTGTTTTTCATTCCTCCAGTTATTTATTTATATCAGTAAGGATTAATGAATATTTATTTAATTCTTAAAGTTATAGTCCTACACTATCGTTACTTACTTTGTTGCTCAAGTTGTTCCAATTTTGGCTGTTGGGAGCTCTTTCAGGTTGGATTCTGTGGTCTGCCTCAGCCCTGGAATCAACCATTTCTCCCGGTAACCTTCGGGTGTGTTTGAAACAAAGATGTAAGCATCATGTTTGCTTATTGCTACTGGGGTGTCACTGCTTCTAGCCCCTCTCAGCAAATAAGCTAAGAAATATACCTATGTGTACTAATTAGCGCACGCATATACCCACATCTATATCTATTAATCTGTATATATATATATGTGTGTATATATATATATGTGTGTGTGTGTATATATATATATATATATATATATATATATATATGTATATACTTTTAAACCCATGAGTTTATACTGATATTTCCAACTTAATCCAGAACTACAGGGTTCATTCTAGCCTTCCGCTTTTCTTTATTTGTAACTTCTTTCTTCATTAGTGAGAAACCTGGTTCTCATTATCTACAGTATATTTACGCTCGTATACAAATAAAGGAGTTTCAGAATTCCTAACCCATACTCATATGAGAAACAAATTCTCCAACTAGAGTACAGTGTTATATATAGTTATTTTTAAATTTAACCTTAAAATATTCAGCCAAAATACTGTTTCCTTAAGTTTCTTAGCTCAGCTTCTTTCTTCCCCATATTCTTCAGTGTTAATATGAGATTAATTTGTAATACAGGTAGATTCGTTTTTCACATTCTGCATTCTGTCTTTGCCCCCAGATTCTGATTAACTTTAAAAAATTTTCCATACTGTAAACATCACCATTTCTTGGGTACAGCTCAGTTGTTTTTGACAAATCCATCACCACACTTCCATACAAAGCAGTTCCATCACACCAAACATTCCCTCATGCCACACCTTTATAGACAGTTCTTCCTCTTACCCCATTAACACGTTGCGTCAAGTTGATTCAGACTCGTAATGACCCTATAGGACAGAGTAGAACTGCCCCATAGGGTTTCCAAGGAGTAGCCGGTGCATTCTAACTGCCAACCTTTTGGTTAGCTGAGCTCTTAACCGCTGTGCCACCAGGCACCTTTACCATGTAACCCCTGGTAATCACTGGTCTGTTTTTCTCCCTACAGTTTTGTCTTTCCAGAGTGTCATATAAATTGAATTATACAATATGTAACATCCTTTTGGGTATATGACTTCTTTTACTTAGCAAAATTCATTTAAGATTCATCCTTCTTTTTTGTGTGAAATCAAGTTTGTTACTTTTTATTGCTGAGCAGTATTTTGTTGTACAGATTACCACAGTTTGTTTATTCATTTACCCATTGAAGGATATTTGGTCTGTTTTCAGTTTGAGGTGATTACAGTTAGAGCTGCTATAAACATTTGTGTACAGGTTTTTGTTCTCTAGGATAAATATTCAGGAGTGGAATTGTTGAGTCATATAGTAGGTATATGTTTAACTTTACAAGAAATTGCTAAACTGTTTTCCAGAATAGCTGTTTCATTTTGTGTTCACAGTAGCAGTATATGAGAATTCCAGTTATTTCACATCCTTGCCAACATGTGGTATTGTCAGTAGTTTGTATGTTTCTGGAAATTTATCTGTTTCATCTAGGTTTTCCAATTTGATGGCATACAATTGTTATTAGTATTATCTTACAATCTTTTCC